CGTCAATTCTCTCCTGGGGAGCGTCTTCGTGAGCCTCTTATGGTTTCAGGATAGTTCAAATCCTATGATGTTCCGATTCAATGCTCACCGATGATCTGAGCCATGGGGCAAGTTTGTTTTCCTAAGAATCTTTTTGAACATGTCGAGAGCACATGTTTGAACATTTAAAGTGCATATGAACATATATGTACGAAAGGTCGCCTCCGAGGGGATAAATCACCATGTCGAACATTGCATTTTTGTTCCTGCCTCTCGCGTTCTCTTCTCTTCCCGCTGTCCTACCTTTCGTGTCTCCCTCCTCTCAAGTATTTGAGCATTCGAATGCTCTGTGCTTTGTGACCCATGCGGAATTTTCTCGCTGATCAAGCTGACGTTTCAGGATGAGTGGGCTGAGGAGCTTTGAGAAATCTTGAGACCCCATTGGCTTCTATTTTCTCAGGAAAATAACTGGAAGGCGAGTGCTTTTGCTGAAAGACATTATGCTTTTTGTTTGACTTATGAGGGATTGGGAAACTGTGGTACTCATGTTGTTCTTTGTGTGCTTAGCTGAACCTGCAATAACCTGTACGAGTCTATGATATTTTCTTATAACTTGATCGTTTCTTCAATAAGAGCATCAGGACTTTTTTCCTTTGGCTGAGGCGTTGGAAACAGATGTTCTGTTAGCAAGGCCCGAAGCACCATGCATGAGACTGAATGGTTGGGCCGTGTATCAGTGTTTCTTTGAGGTTTTGGGTCCCAATTCTTGACCCTGGTTGGCATCCTGGCAACAGTGTGTGTGCTTGCCTTGGTGTTGAATCTGGGTGCCCACACCAACCCCCCACTCATCCCCAACCCTTTTCTCCGCTGAAGCTCTGTGCGACCACTTGGCTGGCCACCTCGGTGGGAGCGGACACAACGCAAAAAGAGCGCCGCCACTGGTGGCGCTTCCGCCGGTGCGGACGGTGGGTTGAAAAGGACGGTTCAAATCACAGAGTCCTTGACCAAGGACTGTTGGACATAGTCGGAAATCTTCGAGTTTCCTCCTGTAAGCTGCCAGCTGTTGGGCCCTTTGTGGGGGGGGTCCGGGTTTGGGGTCCTGCTTGGATGGACAGGAAGATCCGGAAGTCTTCGTCCTGAACCCAAACCCCTAAGATCCCAACCTTCGGTACACCGTACACTCCCTGATTTTTACTCCGCCCTGGAAGGTTTGACATGGAGCCTCCAAACCACTAGTTGTGGAGGAAGCTATAGTCTTCTAAAGGTCCATCTTCAGGTGTTCCCCACCCGGGTGTGACATGCTTCGGAGTGAACGACCCCGGTTGCTTGGTCTTCGGACAACGGTCGTCGGTTCCGGGGCCATTGGTTCCGGGGCCAGGTGGTGAGAGGTATTTTTTTTCCGGGAGGGCGACATCTTGGTGGACCACAAAGGCATAGGGTCCAAGTACACCTCTTTTTTGATGGTCGAAGGGAGGTGAAAGTACCAGGATGGTCCTGGACCCGGAAAACAGGCAAGGGAGCTGTTTGCTGCTACGGACAACGGGTCACCTGGCTGGATCACTGAGCCCCAACGTCCACCAAGGACGGTCTCGACATCTCAGGGCAACCCGACAGGAAGCGCTAGGTATGTTCAAGTATGAACAAGCATCATCCAGTTTCTTCGGTCAGTGACCTTTTGAGGGTCCCAGGTCAGTGATCTTTTGGTTTGAACCAGGATTAAGCGGATTATATACAAGTTGTTGCAGACATGGGCATATCCAGACAACACACAAACCTTCGAACTTTGGTTTGCTTAAATCTCGGTTGATTTCCGTGGAAGTGCGCTGAAGAAACCCCATGCCTCTAGAAGGTATGAAGATGCATGGTGCAGGATGTTTTCATTCCACCCCTGAGAACTCATGTCGCTAGCTCAGCCCCTCCAATGGTGCATAGCACCCGAAAACAACCCTGTTCAATGGGTGATTGGAATTAAACAAGGTAATGTGGGGGAATGATCAGTTTCATGTTCAAGCATGTTTATATACATGTATGTAAACAATGCATTTGTTGGATGTAAAGAAAGCAATAATTTGTTGGACATGTTGGGATGTATTTCAACAACGGGATGTGACCTACTTATGGCAGTCGTGGTGCTTTTGGCCTGTCCTGGACGCAGGGTCGACGGTCGACGCACCGCTTGCCAACGAATCTTGTGGCTCAAGGGGAGCCAGGAGCTTGAGGAGGCATAGGAGCTCAGTGAAGGGGAGTGGCCATGGCGAACTTCACAGGGCCTTCTAAGTCGGACGATGACGGCTCCATACGTCAACAAATTGTGGGCAAGTCTTCCTTCTCACAGAGCTCCTCCTTATCCAATTGATGTGTCATGATTGTTCACCCAAACTCTTCAGTTCTGGAACACCACCTTTGCACTGACAGGCACGTCCCATGCAGGCAACTTTCCACGCAGGGCACCCCCCTTTGGAAGTGTGCACTTGTGATAAGATGATAAGTGATTTTATACAGGTTAAAATGCATGAACATGGAAGCTCCTACTCACGCTCAGGACCAGCGTTTCTTGAACCTGCCACGAATGTCGGGGAGGTTGTATATTATTTGATACATGTGTATACAGTAACAGTATACAATTACAAGCAAGCACTGTGCAAAATGGTGAATCTGTGAATTGCCATTGGACATATGTGGAGTCCATTGTCATATTGCTGTCGGCCAAATCAGACTCTCTGTTTAGTTGGGGCGTTGGGGTGAAAGGTATAGAGTCATACACAAAACACCATGCTCCAAGTTCTAAGCCTCTAAGCTCACATAGAAAGCCACAGAAGGGTTTTGAGCATCATTATGTTGTACTACGAGGTTGTTGCTAGTATCAAACAGTCAAGAACAGTCCTTGAGCGTCGCCGCACTGATGCATTCGACGTCATCTTCGCTTTCCGCGCCCAAAGCGAAACGACGGGTGCCATGATTCGGAAGAAGGGGTGCAGCGGCTTTGTTGGAAAAACAAGGACGCCTGATCAAGACTTTCAAGATGCCTTTTGACGTTTGTAGAGGATCTACCTCCCCTACTTCAGGAGGGTGGCCAGTAGAGGACGCCTAGGAGGTTCAGGGTGCATGGCTCATGGTGATTCCCTAAACCTGGCCTACCTCCACTTCGATGCTTGGGACACAAGGTCGGTGAGTTCGTTGGTCGGTCCCCTACCCCTTCTTTGACGTGGGACAGGTGTATAAGGATGACCTAGGACACTGTGGATAGGCTGTAGAGGTGTATAGGCTGTAATACCTATCTCGCACACACTGGCATACTTACCTACCTTGGGATGGTTGATTTAAGTGGAGGTCCATGGGGCGGCCCCAGTGGGTTCAGTGATTAGCAGTGGTTTGGTTTCAGATGGGTCTGGAGTTAAGACGGTGAAAGCTGAAGGGTCACCAATTGAGACCTGTTAGGGCAACAACCCTCTAGAGCAGACCTGTTGGAGGATGCTGGTAGAATCTTGAATCATAGAGCCACCCATAATGCAGATGTCTAACAATCCAATATGTTTTTTGCGTTATAGCTCAAGTTTCTACACTAGTAGCGCATCACAGAGCCAGCGGAGGAGCTAGTAACAGGCTGGGTAGCCCTGTGAAGCAAGTAAGAAAGGTTCCAGCTTGTGAATGTTCAGGGCAGGCGTCTTTCGGGTGCGTCAGCATCCACACTTCACAAGTTTTTGGAGGTGCAAAATCAGTAGTTAGCGAATTAGCGAAGTCGGTCTTTGGATATCTTGTAATTGCAGAACACAGAACCACTATGAAACAGCTGATTCAAGCCGTTCCAGGCTCCGAACCCTTCCCGCTCTTCGGCGTGCCGAGGTGCGCCGAATCTGGGGGCGGAGACGTTCCAATGTCACGTTGGTGACAGGTGCGGAGACGTCCAGGAACACGTCCGGTGAGAAGACTGGAGAAGGGGCGGAAGGGGGGGAAGGGGGACGGGAGAGAAGCGGCGGCGGGGGGGGTGATGGGCCAAGGAAATGTGGGACGGGAAGCTAGGACTGAGTCAGCACGAGCTTGTTCAGAAAGCGCTACCCTTCAAGGTTTGCCCCAAAGACTAAGACCTAAGACCCGAAGATAGTTGAAGCACTTTGGGAGGCTCCCAAATATACAGTGGTTTCAGACTAGATGGTATGATGTCCTTTAGATGGGGGTCCATATAAACCACCAAACTTGGGGATTGTGCCATCTACTCTTAACCCACTGTAAGGCGTTCAAACCCACATCTTTTGTTGCACAGATTGGATCCGAGCTTCGAGTCGAAATTTCAACAGGACGCCACTCCAGATTGCTCAAGGTCCGGTGTTGACGTCCTTTGATTTCATCCCAACCCCCAACAATGCATGGGACTGGAATATTCGCGGATCAAATTGGGGGTGATTTTAAGATGTTTTAAGGGTCAACGTAGTTGAGAAAACACGTGTGAAACAACCCTCTCTGGTGGTAGCCATACATCATGTTGATATCACCTTGCTTTTGGCTCAAGTCCTGCGGAAAAGGCGCGTCGTGCCTGGGTCAGGGCTCGGGAGCCGTACTTCGTTTCATGTCATTAAACCATGGGTTGCCCTATCTGGTTTAACTAACGTGGGTATAAATACACATGTATACATGGAGTGTGGGGGAAACGGGGAACCCATCCACTTAATCGCACCCACTTGAGCGTCCGCGTTTCAGAACACGCGTCGTCGCCAGGTTCCTATGACGGCACTACAAAGCTTTGGTGCCTCACTGGCCAAGCGAAGGCTCATCCTATGATGGCCCATAACGATGCGGTGATGTATGCAGATGTCTCGCAGGATGCCAGGCCTGGAGGTGGTGGAAAGGGTCTCTCCTTGCTTGCATTGATGTGATTGCTTTTTCCACAACTGGGTGACCCCGCAAGTCTGGGGAACTGTGATTTGTTCCTATTTGTCAGTCAGTGCTCGTGAATAGACTTACAGTATCCAAGATGACTGCAGGATGGCAGACACATGGGCGCCCCCACACTACTTATATGTCTCCGTTCGGAGCGCTGGGTATGAGTATAAACGACCACTGAGCCCGGTGCCACAGGCCCTGGGATGACCTATTTCAAGTAAACAACCTCAGGGGCGGCCTTTTTTCGTTGACCCTGGAGGGATACATTACCAGAAGAGTCTCCACTTAAGTTGGTTGGTGCAGAAAAAGGATTTAACCATCACCGGTTCCCCAGAACAGCTCATGGATCGGCCTTGCGTCCTAAGCTGCCAGATACCTTGTCACTGCTGCCTATGATGGCGTGGCCACTGTGTGGTGTGCCGCTTGGATGAAGTTAAGAGCTTCCTGGAGAATCCCAAAAAGCCTGCCACAACCAGCCACGACCATGAAGAGAGCCAGGCTGACCTATTATTAAAAAAAAGAAGTCCAAGGGTCCCCTGAGTCAAAGGCCTGCGACAAACAAGAACTGGTACAAGGTCGACACGGGAAAACTGCTTAGAGTGTTGGTTTTAAATGGTTTAATATGTTTTTTCCATGAGTGAATCCCGGCCCCTTCTGCGGAAGAGGTTTTTCTCTAGTTTCCTTGAGCAAATCCAAAAAGACCTCACTTGTGAGGTCTTCATGTGCACCATAGCCCATAGCAATGATTTTGAATCAAGGGGGAGAAGGCTCCCTCACAATGTACTGCAATCGTTTGCCGGTGGATGCCGGTGGCCGTGTCCAGACTGTTTGCCTTGGGGACAAAGCATGGAAGATAGGTCCTCACTTGTTTGACTGACATGACTTCAAGGCCGCATGCCACAAAGAACACATCAAATTCTTTTCTTTGTGTTTCAACCCACGGCAGCGTTGAATGTTGCACTCTTTGTTAGAATTGCAAACATCCTGCTCGATGGTTTGATGAATTCCGTGGGGTGCAGCTCCACGCAGGATTTCAACATTGAAACACATCGCATGGGTCAAGGCCTCACAACATCCAATGTGTTCCATTCATTGACAATATGTTCGACGCACAAAGTCACACAGTTTTGTTTTAAATGGTTTCTTCTTTTTCGTGGATTTGGATCCACGACCACATAATCCCTATCACTCCACATACTGAACCTGAGAAGGTGAGCAGGGAGACTATTTATGAAGACGCCTGGGTCGGGCCCAGTCGGGCTGAACCTGAGAAGGTGGCTGTGGATCCCTAGGGTATTTTTATGTATTTTTGAGGCCTCCCGAAAGTACTTGAACTTCAACTATAATATTAAATACTATATCTTCAGGTCTTAGGTCTTTTGGGGCCAACCTCGAAGGGTAGCGCCTTCTTTCACTGGCGCTCGTGCCGACTCCGGCCATTTCGACTGGCCGACTCTCCGCCTTGACAGGTCCGTGAGACGGTGCCACTGGCCCGCCTGGCAGGTGACGTCGGAAGAGCCGACGTTCGTTCGTGGAGGGATCATGTCGGTCTGTCACCGAACGGTGGGATGGAAAGGTGGTGTTCGAGTTGCATTCGAGTTCTTAACAGATCTTTGTATGAAAAAAGTCCGTGCATTGTTTTGCCAAGTTCAAGCATGTTTGACATTGTTTTTGAGATGTCCGGACAAACTTGCATCAACAATTAGGATTCATGACGCAAGCGGTTTTCATTTGTGGTATAAGGTTCAAAGAGTGGCACGTTTGGGAGCAGCAACCCAGAAACGGAGAGTGGTTCAGCCCATGCATTCAGTGCGCCGGAACCACTAGTCTGAAACGAGGAGCTGCTCAATGCACACAACCCCACGACACCGTCTCGTCATTCTTGGGAGCAAAGGCTGCTAACAACTAAGCCACGTGCCTTCGCGGCCGGGACTTCCCTTCCAAGATGCATTGTAATTCAACAATTTGTACCTGGAAAGATTCACATGAAACCTGAAAATGGACCATGTGGGGTTTTCAGGTTATACTTTAATCTTCCCGGGTGACCCTGATAACCCACGATTTTCGGATGGTAAGGTGATCACCTTCTGATCGACATCTATTTAGCAGGGTTGTCCCGGCCGCCAACTCTGGGTGAAAAAGGTACGGGGCAGGAGAAGGCCACAACGGGAGATTCAATTGAGCCAAATAAAGAGATCAAAATCAAAATGAGTATTGTCAAAGAACACGAAGAGATGCACTGCACAGGATGCCAACGGCTCCCCGGCTTCTCTGACTGACTGAATTGGCTCCGGTGTGACCTGTAGCCCGGCAGTTTGCCCCGCATGTCCGCTGCCACGGATTGCCCCACGTAAACTGCCCCGTCGGCCCAACAGGTTCCACATCTCGAGGCTGTTGCGAACTGGACGGTATGAGTGTAACAAAGACAGCTGTTTCTTTTCTTTACATAATTTATGTTGATTTCTTTTGCTTTGATTGTTGGTGGAAATGTGAAGGCTGACCGACATCTCCCAGTGCGTGTTCCGGGATTTCCTAGACGAGGAACACGCCGCCCATTGCAACATCGTCCGGTCTACGTCGGCAGACTCAATGTCATGGAAACTGCCAGAAGCGCTCTCCGAACCTCGCGTGGTTTATCTCAGAATTTCTCAGATGGTCGCAGGTTCCGCGGGTGGGCTCTACTCCGCGCAGTTCTCACCAGATGGGCAACACATCCTGATGCTTGGTCTGTGATGTGATGGAGGGCACTGCGGAGGAGTCAAAGACAACATGATCCTGTGGTGATGTGGGCAAACACAGGGGTTACTCCTCTAGCAGAAATAGATCCAAGACGGGGGCGAACCGACATGGGTTCCATGACACGGGTGGTACCTCCCTAAAAGACATTATATGGCATTGTTTAATTGTTTTAGTGGCGTGTTGTGGTTGTGGTTGTGGTTGTGGTTGTGGTTGTGGTTGTGGTTGCGGTTATGGTGGTGGCTTTTGCTGCTGCTGCTGCTGCTGCTGCTGCTGTGGTGGTTGTGGATGTGGTTGTGGTTGTGGATGTGGTTGCGGTGATTGTGGTTGTTGTGGTTGTGGTTGCTGTTGTTGTTGTTGCTGCTTGTTGTTGTGTTTTGTAGTTGTTATTATTGTTGTTGTTTTTTGTTGTTTTTTTGTTGTTGTTTGTCAGTTGTCGTCGTTGTTGTTGTTGCTGTTGTTGTTGTTGCTGTTGTTGTTGTTGTGGTTGTCGTGGTTGTCGTTGTTGTTGTTGCTGTTGCTGTTGTGGGTCGTCAAGACGTGTTGCTGAGGCAAACCGGGCCGTTCTGGTTAGCATGGCCAGGTGGCAACACCCTAAGGTCGCGCACCATATCCTGGGTGAGCAGCATAGCAACGGTCCTGTGGACAGACTGTTTGGCTGGGTGCGCGCTTGGATTGAAGCATTCCTCGCAAGACCGCCCAATATATTCCTTGGATATCTTCTTTCTTGCTACATAGTGAACACCGATCCATCAGGCCCAAAGTTTCACATCGTGAAGTTTGATCCAGGCGAGAACCGCAGCCAAGGACTTTCTTTCACTGCCCCAGTTTCATTGCAACCAGAACCTACAACTTGGCAGCTCGAAGAAAAGTGGTTGCTCATGGCATCCAGGTTGCCAATCGCCTTTTTAGCGATGTTGCGGACACTGCTCCAGACTGAACCATTTGCTCAATGCTGGAGTTGAAGGCAGATGCGGAAGTGAAACAATCGAAGGCTGACGTCACTGATGACAAGGCGAAGGAGGATCCTTGCATGGAACCGTGAGAGGGCAAAACTCCTACTCCAACAGTGTTGACAGCATGGTTCAAAAAACGATTGATCGGAAGGCCCTCAACCAACGCAACCTAAGCCTTAGACACCATCAAGCGGATATTTCCAATATCACGTATTGAAATAGTCATGCCAACCAGCTCAACTGGCAGGCTGGCTTTGCAGCAACCCGTTCATTGTCGAACAACGCGTTCACTGTCGCGCGGAGAAAGCTGGGTACCAGGACAGGTGAACCAGCATCGAGATGAGGAGTGGGCTTCTGTCCCGGGCCCGGCTGCAGCCAAGATGCAGAACATCTGCAGCGAAGAAGTGCCGCCAAGCGGCCGCTCTGAAGCCTACATCTTCGAGCTTGTCATAATCTTCATTAACGGCTTCTGCGTTTGAGTATAGGAACATAAAAGTCTGTGCTTTTTGTCTGCCATCTGCTCGCGTAGGCCACCCTCGCATAGGCGTCCGAATCGATAAAGCCCATAAGGAGCTCATGGAGTGCAACCCTGCACGCGTCATGACCCAATTGCCTTGCCCGGGGGACCCATGGTCGATTTCATCTTGGGAGACTCATCGATGGCACTGGTTGATGAAGCGGTTTACGCTGACTGTACACCCCAAAAGATCATAAAAGATCAAACGCAACGTTGGCGAATACCTCAAAGAGGGCGGGCCTTCACTGTTGACAGACAAGTGCGGTTCGGTCCATTGCTCCCTCCACTGGGGGAAAGGGCTCAAGCAGATTATTGACGGCATTGAATTCTGCCTGGAGAACAAAAGATGTCTGGGAGACGTTGCAGCGGTCATCGTGGTTAGCTATGCCGGACACGATGTGTATACGGCAATCACGGATTCGTTGAGAATCCCTGGGTGGATACTAATGTCCTTCACCGCAATCCCGCGAAACAGCGGGCGGCCTATGCATGGCAAGCGCAGCTGGCTGAGAAGCGGCCGTGGAGCAAAAGCCTTTCTTCAATGAATTCAACATAGCTAATACATACTTTAACGATCCACTGCACACGATGTCCTCTCCAACAGGGTGATTTTGGAAAGTCACAAAGGCCCACCATCAAAATGCCAGGAGCCATGAGGAAGTCAGCTGCTTTGGCTGCAGCTTCTGGTTGTATCATATTTTGTGGGCTCACAGCCTGGCCGTTTTTACCACCCTGTCCGGCCTGGGCTTTTGCGTGCAGGGCAGGCCTTCCACACCTTTGGCCCTGGCCTGGCGGGTTTCGAATCTGCCGTGTGGCACCCTCTCCAGCCACATTTCTACACAGAGCAACATGGGCTATAGGCTATGGCGACGCACGAACGAGGAAAGTCCCCGCGGACGGAACCTTTTGCAATGGTACAGGCGACATGCGTAGCATTATGCGTAACATCCTTTATTGTAGTGTACAAGGTTTAAGAACCAAACAAGAACTATTCACATGTCCCAATGACTGAGTCGAATTCAATGGGTGGGCGTGAAACATGCGTGTGATGTCAGAAAAAAACTGTTTTAAAAGGCCACCAAAAGCATCTAAAAGTCAGCAATTACCATAATTATATATATATATGAGTATGATGTTCTCATGTGAGGAATTCTCCATCAGTTCCATCCAGTCCCACCTTAGCGCAAGCGGTTTCCTTGCTACACCATTGAAATCTTCACGTGTGGCCAATCTCGCCTGCATGTTCTGCATCGATTGGACGCTGTGTGCTTCGGTGTTTGTGGGGTTTGTGGGTGACCACCTATTCCCCAACAATCCATGTATCCCAGACAAATGAAATCCTATATACCAGACAGTTCTCTGTGACCGCTTTGGTTTTTTCTGTGAAGTGACCGCGATGAAAGGGTCACTTATCGAAGAGGTCACTTGCATGATTTTCAAAGAGGTCACTTACCTCATAACGAGGTCACTTAAGAACCCTTGATTGTGGCATTGGGTCCACTGAGTGACTTAGCCTTCAATCAAAGAACCTCATGGCATCCCATGGCATCCATGGTTGAGGATGTATTCCAATAACTCTACAACATAAAATTCTGGTGTGGTCCACGAGGCCATCTATAAACACTAGGGTTGGGCCAGGTTGGGAAACCTTCATCCACCCCCCTCCCATCCGATTTCCGCACGCCACTCACCCCTGGTCACGCACGTGGACACCGACATCTTCATCGGTGTCATCCAGCAGCTTCCAAGGAGACATGGGCAAGGGTTGAAGCTTGTTGTGGGGCAGCTTCGGGCTACAAGGTTTACTGTATGATTGTGTCCCATGTCATCCTTGGTTCAAGACCCTTTGCCATCTCAGGCAGATAAAAGCACAGTATCTATTTAGAACTTGCAGTTCAAGGTGCCGTGCACTTGCTTTTGTACACATTGATTTCACCTTTCCAACCATGTCTTCATCTCCATAACATGCAACCCAAAGCGGGTTAACCTTTCTGCACTGGTCATAGACTATGTGTTCTAGTCGGTGAAGCTTGGGTCGCAGTTTCCACAACAGGCGCGATTGGGACATTGCCTCACTGGCCAGCGCATTCAAAGCACTGTGGTAAAGGTAATTGCACTCCTGCAAGAAGGGAACACCACAAGTCACCAAACCTTTGCTTTCAAAAACATTGTCGACATAAATTGGTATAAGCTTGATCATATGCACTCCTCAAGCTGGCGGATTCTGTCTTCCGCAAGAAGTGCACCTTGTCCAGACATTGCCCTCCGCATGCCATACAGATTCACGAACACAGCTGCGCGCAACCTTGCACGATGGAAATCTCACACGAGAAATTAGAAATGCTCCACAATTTGGATCACCACTCCCAAATGCAGCAAAAAAACATAGCATGCTCGTTTTCCGGCTCCTGCTGAACGATTCCCAGGCAAACGCCCATTAGCCACTTGGCTAGCACAACTGATTCCTCGGATCATGCCACTGCGCATCCCACTCATGGTGCAAAATGGTGCAAACATGTCCATATTGCTGAACCATAGAGGGCCCTAGCTTCCGCAGCATTCATGTGTTTTTGTGCCAGGGTAGGATATTCTTTTCCTCCTTGACAGTGTAGGTGTTTCCTGAGTTAAATTGTGGAGCGGGACCTTGAAAAAAACAAAAGTCTTCAAACATGTGCCACCACCCAGACACACACACACACATGCACAGGACTTTTTCAAAAACAAGCCACAGTGAGAAGACACGCCCTTTGTTTCCTGAGGATTTGGGTGCATTCTCTAAAGGATCGATATCACACTAGGCAATCCAAGAGCTAAGTCCAATTCTAATCTTGTGTTCTCGACATTGCTTCACAAACTGCACATGTGCACAGCGAAGCCGGTCATCAATATTGGCACCTGCACATGTGTATGTTGTTGTGTCGCAAGTGGGGTCGGAAATGAAAAAGGATGCTAGTTAGCAGGGACCTGGCCATATGTGGTCACTTTCACATAACTCCAGTAGTGCCTCATGCCAGGCATGAGCTACACACAAACCTTTTCCTTTTGGAAAGCGAACATACGATGCAGCGGCTCTTATGAAACCAAATGCTGACGAAACACTGAAGCAGCTGCCTCTGGGACAAGTGTCAAATCAACAACATGAAGCCAATCTCCTGAAACAACCTCGATGTGCCAGCCGCTGAGGTTGGTCCACGGGTTGTATCGACATCCATTGGCAAACTCATCACTGGAAACCTGAGATATCCAAACCAAAAAGGGACATATCACTGTACAGCTCAGCGCACTATACAAACTGGTGCAAAAAAGAAGCGCGTGTTTGTCTGTGTGGAGCTGACTTCCCATGCAAAGTGTAACAGCAGGGGCCAGCAGCAGAGGTCGCAGCACAAAACCAACAGGGATGGGAACTGACCCAAGACTTCTGTGGATGGTATGCTCTTTGGAGATATTTATCATCTCCTTTATGGCAGGTCAGAACTGCCTTCCATCCACAAGCAATGGGAAGGCCAGC